GAAGAATAGATTACATTTGTAACAAGCTGGGGCTATATGATATATACTCTCCAGCTTGAGGGGGAGTGTTAGAATGCTCGAGTTAGGGGTATTTTTGTCATTCTGGATTATCTGCTTGAGAGTGAAAGGTCTATTGTATCTGAGTTTTAAGTTATGTGTTCCATCTTCTATGAGGGACAAAATGGTCTTTCCTGTAACTCTATGATTTTGAATAAATACAAGTGGGTCAGCTAGGGGAGAGTGATTTTGACTCTCTACTTCAACCTAGAATCTGCTAGAGTTTACTAACACAGGTAATAAAATCAGTTTTGGGAAGACATGTTGGTGGGAGAGCAATCCTTAAAACCTTGTTTCCTTCAGTCTTTGCCCTCTCCTCCCTCAAAGGCAAGCCGGTTGCTGATTTCATCCTCCCCTCCCCCTCCCTGTCTGGTTTTGCTTGGAATCTAGGTCCTTGTAGAGAGGTGAGGGATTCCGAGATGGATTCTTTGTCTTCTTTGTTGCAGTTGCTTGATGGGGTGTTTCTAGACATTTCTGAACAAGACACTAGGGTTTTGCCCCTCCCCCCCCCCTCTCTAGAGTTTTATCTGTGCTTCCTTCTTCAAATCCTTGTCCTATCCTGCTCAACCTGGGGTACCTTTCCCTGTAAAAGAAGTGTGGTGTCGCCCTATTCCCCATAAATTGGGTGTTTTTTGTTGGGAGGTCTATCATGGTGCAATCAACACCTGTGATCTGGTGCAGAGGAAGAGGCCTGGCTGGTGCCTATTGCCTAATTGGTGCTGCTTATGTGAGACGAATGGTGAGACTGCTTATCATATCCTTGTCTCCTGTCCTTTTTGCTAGCAGTATTTGGGACTGGTTCTTTCACCTTTTTGGATGCAGGTGGGATACTCTGATAAACTTGGAAAGGCTTTTTGCCCCCTCTACTTTCAGATGGCCAAAAAGAAGAGGAAGAGCACCATGGAGATGCACAAGGGTAGCAGTAACTTGGGTATTGTGGGAGGAAAGAAACTTGAGAATTTTTGAAGAAAAGAAAAGATGCGAGGAAGAAATAATAGAAAGGATTTTGGTAAAGGTAACATCATGGGTAAAGTCACTGAATTTGTTTTCAGACTTTACAATGAATGACATAATTAGGAACTGGAGGGAAGTTGCTTCATCCTCAACTGTTAAGAAGAAAGTCTTAAAGGAATGGGACCCCCCTGAATCAGGATTACTCAAACTGAACTTTGATGGAAGCAGCCTTGGCAACCCGGGAAGATCTGGAATTGGAGGGGTATTTAGAGATGACAAAGGAAATGTAGTGGGACTGTTCTCAGGCCCTATTCGTAGGGTGATTCCACTACAGCTGAACTAAAGGCAGTGGTATTTGGGATCCAAAAAGCTAAGGAGATGGGGATGTGAAAGCTTGTTGTGGAAGGCGACTCCAAAGTAGTGATAAATTGGCTAAAACAAACTGAAGAAATACCCTGGCTGCATAGAAATGATATCAAGAAGATTAAAAACCTCTCCAAGGACTTCAGCTATCATTTCAGTGGACTCCAAGGGCGGCAAATGGATTTGCAGACCAGCTAGCAAAACAAGGGGAAAACAGGGATCAGTGTTTCTGGGCTCAGATGTAAGAATGAGAAATCATAAGTGATAGGTGACAATTTAAATTTTAGTGGGGTAGCCGAGGCTACTCATAATCTGTAATTCACATCTTATTATATTTAATGGAATTCTCTTTACTGATAAAAAAGAATCATTGACACAATTAAAAGTAAAGTTGCATATTGGGTGAAGACCTTGGAGTATTTCCAAATTTTCTCAATAAATGACATTTTGAGAACTTAGAAGGAAGTGGCACTACTGGTTCAAGTCAAGGAAAGAGCAACTATGGACTGGACACCCCCGGCAACCAACTTTGTTAAACTCAACTTTGATGGAAGTTATACTGGCAATCAAGTTTCAACTGGATTGGGTGGAGTCTTCCGAGACACAGAAGGAAAGGTGTTAGCTTTGTTTTTAGGACCCTTGGCAGATGCTAATGCATTGACAGCTGAGCTGCATGGACTACTATATGGTTTAAAATTTGCTAAGCAATTTTGTGAAAGAATGGTAGGATCCATCTAATGGACGCCATAAAGGTTGCGGAATGGGTGGGGCGAATTTCAAAAATTTCCTACCTTCTCCCAA